TGTTTCTCAGACAGCACATATAGTAATTGAAGGGACTTCCTGCTCTCTAATTAGTCAGATTGAATTAATTTGCCACGATAGCTTTCATCATGTATCTGGAAGTCTGCGTTCCTCTGAAACCGGTGCTGTGCTTCAGAGCTTTAGACCAAGTGGCACATTGATTAGTGCAGGCAATGAAAGGGTTAGCATCACATTGACTTTCCACCAGCATAGACACAGCTCCCTTCCTGCCTACTTCTGCCCCTTTAGGTAGTGTGGCTGCAGGGGTTTGCCAGCACCAGTGTAGTCTCAGGCCACTGTCTGATAGTGTCACCTTGTTGAGGAAACTTGAGACCCAGGTAGGCTTGGAGCCTGAGCTTTACTCAGCATGAGCTGCATGGATTTCAGCTGAGTTGATTCAACATCACCAAGTAATAGTGTTCATCGAATCACAGAATCAGGATAGTATTTGAAGGAACCAGACAAATGCTGCTCATTCCTGTTTTAAAAGATGACCACAGGCAGGGGGATTGTGGGCTGCTTCAGAACAGAGAGTTAGAAAGCCAAGTTCATGTGTTAGGTTGCTCCAGAAGGAAATGGGAAGACTATTCAGGTATGCATAAAGCCCTCACAGGGATTGTTGTGTTTGTCAGACATCTCAAGTCACCTCCTGTGATTGACACTTGGGTTCTGTGATTGACAGGGTCATATGGCAGGCAGGGTAATAGTGCCCTTGACAAAGACCTGCAATGATCAGCTTGTCCCTTCTAACCTCACCCTACATGTAGTCACCTAGAGAACACATGTGGTTGGATCATTACCTTCATATATGTACCTTGTACTGGTGACAGGGTATTTCAAGGGCACTGTTGTGTCTGTCAGAACACCCACCTCTCCATTTGAAATAGAGCCACCAGATGGGTAAAACACTGCCATCATCATGGCTGACACACAGGGTGTAAAGTAGAGGATAGCTATGGGAACAGTGGCTGACATCAGGCATTAAAGGTATCAATGCCACCATGGTTCCAGATGCCCCTAGGCCCGGCCAGAGCCTTCCTGAGCATGCTCCTGCCCTTACTGTTTCCCTGTTCTGCAGGCAGAGCCCCCTCCCCAGTGAACATAGCCCTTAGACACAGATTTCCATTGATGAAGTTCAGAGAGGTTCAGCTGCGGCTTGGTCTTCTGTAGTGTGTTTGTCTGGAAGCAGGCACTGCCATCATCAGGATTTTTAAAAGCTAGATGTTTCTAACCACCAACATGTCTAGGCTTTGTTTGCATAAGTTTTCCTCATGTCATCAGGAAGGTGAGATGTTGGCTTCTGATTATTTGCAGCAAAAAATAAAATTTACAACTCTTATAAAACTAATTTCCTCTATTTGGATTTAAATCACTGATTAATATTTATTAGAATACAAGCTGAATATTATATTTAGGCACAATTTTTATCTAATTCAAGGTATTTGGCAAATGTTAAATAAGAAAAACGTATCTGAAAATTCAATATTCAATAAGTTTAAAGTAATTAACTTTTCCTTTGGCCAACCTCTTGTTCACTTTACCTGGCCTTATCTAGAATTATGAGGATCTGTCTTTTCCCACTGTCTGTCTTATTCTCTGTGCTGTTTGTTAAGTAACTGAAGTCCATGTTTATTCATTCAGAAAACATACAGACAGCAAACTCATTGAGGGCAAGATGTTCCTTCCGAGCTGTTCAGACAGAGGCACAGGTAGTGCGGAGTCCCGGAAGGCACTGCCAAATGTCTGTGTGTGGCACAGGGAAGGGAGTGGGGTTGGTGAAGTCAGGGTTAGTACTTTTCTCTTAGAAGTGCCTGGTACCCTCTCCCTGAAACAGCCAGGCTGTGGTGGCTGGGCAGGCCTCTGTCGGCCACAGCTGTGCTCGGCAGACATACAGAGAGGCTCCCGTGTGTCCCTGTCTCAGTCCAGCTGCAGTGCTTTCGGCAGTGGTTACGCTCCCTGGGCCCTGGCTCTGCAGTGGGAAGCAGATAATTGTATTCACCCTTCTCATGGGACTTCTTAATATTTATGGTTGTGAAATACTTTGCAGTCGTTTTTATTAATAGTTACCAGATGTGTCATAAGGATTAATGAACTTAAGATCTGAAATGTTTAGAGTTCCTGAAATAGAGGCGATGTCTGTGCAGGGAATATGGAAAAGAGCATTAAAATGCAAACGCCTGAGCTTGGAGGGTGAAGCTATTGTGTGTGACAGAGCAGTGGCTCACATAAGGTCCAGCATAGTTTGTAGATGTATCTGGTACCCTTAGTCATCACAGGCCCTCGCTCAACCTGGGAGGCTCAGCCCTACCCACCATGCCTGTGTGTGTGTATGCATACAGCTTGTGGGATGCTCTGTCTGCCTGTTATCTCTCAGCCTGGTGCTATTTCTGACTTCTCCAGCCTCTAAACATTTATCTTCCTCCTGTGCCTGAATGTCCATTTCTGTGTCTTTTTCTCTTGTCCAAGTTCAGGCCCTCAGAAGCTCTCCATGGAACCACTGAAAGGGTGTCTTAGTCTCCTCACACCTGGGTCTTCTTTCTAATCAATCCTCCAAAGCATCCCTCTCACTGGTGCCGTTTCAGAACCAGCAGCAGCTGTTTGTGGACTCAAGACTTTCCCTCCAGCACTGACCCTTCCCTGCTGGGGCTGCTCAAAACCCAGAAGGAATAGCTTCACCTGGGGGTAGATAGGAATAGGCGCTACCTTACACACAGTCCCTTCCTCTGCTGCCCACCATGCTGCTCAGGCTGGCCTCACATGGTCATTGTGGATCTGTCAGCAGCCCCTTCTCCTCTGCATCCCCTCTGCCTTAGAACCTTCCAGTCCATGTCCATTCCACAGTCTTAATTTTAGTTACTTGCTTACATGTACCCGCCCCCAACCCCCAGATCAGATAGACACTTCCTAGTGAGAAAATTTGTGCGGACATTGAGAACTTGCAGGTCTGCCGGAATGGTTTCATGTGGGAACCAGGGCTTGGTCTGTCTGTCTGCGCCCTCAGTTAGTTCCTGCAGCTGTTTTGTTAGGGAACCACTGGAGTTTGCAGTCGCTGAGTCATGAGGAGGAGTGTGAGCATGCTTCCATGCTCATGTCAGCAAATGTTCATGCTAGGCCTCTACGAGTTCATGCTCTAATGGTGGCAGTTCCCATCTCAGGGGGACGAATCTACGCCCTGAATCTCATCTGCTTTCAGTTAGACCCAACTGAAGGATGAAACTTGCATTCTGAGCATGAGAAATAAACCTTGTACTGTCTTTACCCTGAAAACCTTCCTGTTTGGGTAGGCGGACTTTGGATCAGTGGGGAAAGGAATAGAGGCAGCGTCAGGCCCCCTGGACTTGGAGGTGGCGTGCAGGTGCGTACAAGAGATGGCTCCATACCAGAGTGCCAGCCGCCTGAGTTTGGTGTGCTCAGAGGGCTGGGTGCTGGTGAGGTGGCACTAGGGCCATAACTTTTTTTGTGGCCAAGGCATGGAGGAGGAGGCAGGGGTCTTGGAGTTTAGGCTCTTTGAGCTGCACGACAGTGGCCCTGCTGCTAGACACCCTCCCTTATCATTCTCTCAGCCACATATGCTCCTCACTTTCCTGGCTTTTACCCCAGAGTTTGCAGGGAGAAATGTCTGTCCATCTGTGTGCCCTGGTCCTTTCATCCTGCTCCTGTCTGCATTCTCCTCAGCACCTTCTCTGAGCTGTCCCATCGCCTTCAGTAGAATGGCTCTATGGTGACACTTACTGTTTTCTAAAAGCAGCCCTGTGTCCTATGTGGCGATGGCATCACCTTTACCAAAATACACGTGTGCATTATTTGCAATTGAGGTAAGGTGGGCAGTCATGTTTAGGCCTGAAGTCCCTGTCTAAACAGTCAGAACTACATGGAATTCTCAGGGCTTCCGACCCTGGACAAACTGAATAGAGGCTTGGTTAGTTCACATTTCCACTGTCGAGTGACTGGCCATACCCTGGCTTTTCTCCCTGGGGTCCTTTGGTAAATAATTCAACCTTTCTAGGTCAGAATGATGACACCGAGGCCATAGTAGAGCTGCAGCCGGCATTCATTCCCTCCGACTGGGCAGGGAAAGGGCAGCCCGTGCTGTGCCTGTTCTGTCTGCTCGTTGTTCTCTAGTGGTGAGTGAGCAGAGCTAGGGAAGGGAACACCTGAAACCAGACTCGGCAAGAGCTAGAGGTAGAAATGGCGGGCTCCTGGTTTCTTCCAGAGACCTTTGCACTGCTGTCTGCCTGTGTGTCCCACTGCCGAACTCACCGTAAGATGAACTTGGCTCGTGTCTCCTCCTCCTGACTTCACGCTCTTACCCAGGTTCTCAGCTTTCCTCTAACGCTACTTGAGTCACGTGTCTGTAAGTGAAGACGTCTTCTGCTGTGATGTTTCACCCCCTTCTTTGAGCTATTCTCCCCTCACCTGCTCTAGTGCTGGAATTTTCTTACTGCTATGTCTGACTTCAGCTGTGTCCTTGCATTGCACTGTCGGCAAGGCTTTCTGACTCTTGGCTGTCTTCTGCTTGCTTTGCTCAGGAGTCAAGTGACCTCTCTTTCTTTCCCTAGCTCAGTTACTTTGGGATGGCCAAAGCTGCCCATACGTCCTTGTCTGCTTGGCTCCAGCCAGAGAAACTTCCTTCCTTCTCAGTCCTGCAACATGTTGCGTGCTCTGGGTGCCACCCAGGCTCAGGTTGTCTCTCAGCTCCTGCCTCCTGTCCCAGTCACTTCATGTAAAGACTTGCTCTCACAGTCTACCCTGCTATTAGCATGTGTCCATGACCACAGAGCAGCATGACACTTTATGTGTATCTTGTCTTGGCCGAGACAAGCCTTTACTGGGCCTCTTTCTCTTGTGTGGTGTGAAACCCTGGTACCCACAAGCCTCATTGGTAGGAGTGTGTTAGGGTTTCTGAATGTTGTGATGGTCTCCTACTGGCTCCTGGCAGCTTTCTGCTCTGTGCTCCTGTCCCCTTTGTGGGTCCCTCACTCATATCCTTGTCTCCTCAGCCCGTGCCCCGAATCTTGGTGCAGCCTACCTTCTCAGATGCCCGGGCAACAAGGACAGAGGAGGTGAGTCACTACATTGGGGCTGTTCCACTTGCAGAGGTGGCCCTGACACTAGCGAGGATCCATTTGTCCATACCCGCCTTTACCCCCTTTGCTTCCCACTTTGATAATTAACTATAATGTAGGTCACTGTCTTCTCCCTGCACGGGCTCCTTGTTACACTTTGCTATTTTCAACCTGCTAATCATATGATTGCCAAAGTCTTTGGTGCTTGACTGCTAATGTAGTCTGTGCTTTAATAGCTCACTGCTAGGCAGAGGGGATTTCTATAAACAGAACCGTCTCCTCCTTGTGTTTGCTTAATTCTCAGCTTTACATTTCATTCTAGTTCATGATATCAGTGTGAAAAGACCATTGCTAAGCTGGGAGAAAACCATCTCTTATGATTTCCCACAGCTTACCAGCACTTGTCATCTTGTGAACACTAGACCTCCATGGTCCCTCCACACTTTCAGCCTTGGGAGATGCTGTATCTTCACAGGCAGAGTTTATTCATTAAACAGTAGCAAACAGAGCTCAATGAAGGAAAATTTCCCCTTTAGTGCCCCATCTAGAAAATGCCCTTTCACTCCAGTGCCTTCCTGGTGTCCCAGCATTCCCAAGGTGTCCCCTTCCCTGGGAGCATAGTCTTTGTCATGTGGAGGCAGTTTTGAACAGGAGCAGGACTCTCACTGGCAAGGCCACCTGTGTGCCAGCTCATGCTGCTAATCCTCCTGGCCTCACAACCCGTGGACATCGGATACCTCCAGCCATGAGGAGTGCTGGCATGGTAGCGGCAGAGAATGCATGTCTTTCCTTCCACTGTGTTTGGTCTGTGCCATCACCGTACCTGGCTTGTCCCTTCCATGGGGAATGTGGGCAAGCCCTTCAACTTCTCTGGGCCTTGCCGCCCGCCTCTCATCAGTAGTTCAAGGGACAGTTCAAGTGGAATCTGTCACCTGAGGCTGTTTTGCCTCTCTTTCACGGTGTGTGTGTGTGTCTGTCTGTCTGTCTGTCTGTCTGTCTGAATCTCACGGGTGGATTAGTGTTGAAAGGACCCTTTCACAAGGCATGGGTCATGTCCAGCTTCTTTCGTGCTCAGTATGTTCTGCCCCCCCCCCCAAGCATCCAGCGATAGCTAACTAGAGTAGGAAAGAATAAATAAAGCATGTCCAAGCTGCAGAAGAAAAATGATTGAAGGATTGCCTAATCTTTCAGCATATTTATGGCGATGACAGTTATTGATCTGCTAGATTGAGTAAGTTTTCAGGGAGAGCCCCATCACAAAAATGGGCTGTTAATCTCAAGAGGTGTCGTTAACTCCCTCCCCAGAAAGTATGCCTTGTGGGTAACGAAGGCTTCTGGAAGCAAGAATATAAATGACAATTCACGGGAAAATGCATGATTTATCAGACTGCTGAGTTAAGCCAAGAAACTGGAAGAGACTTATAGATCTTAGCTGCTTCCCAGTTCAAATAAATCCTATGTTTCAAATAGGAAGTGACCATTCCTGTACATAAATATTGAGATGCAGCTTTCCTTTTTCTGCACAGCCTTCTACCTAGTTCCCATCCCATTTTCTTTTCTGGCACTGTGGGTACAGAACTAAGAGATGGTGCTTGACTCCCTCAGACAGCTTCCGTTATCTGAAGGAACACCCTGTACTCGTTCATGTCCCAAACGCTGGGCCCAGTGGTTGCCCTGCCATCACTGTGACATTGCTAGCTTTGTGTCTGTGCCTTGTGCCTGGCAACTCTGACAGTGGTGTGAAAGGCCATCGCTACTCTGTCCTTGCTTAGTGATAACTCCTGGCCCATGTCCCAGCATCAGAGTCTCCCAGCCTTGACATGACACAAACAGCCAGCAAAGCAAGCCAGGGCTATAGGAAGTCTGGGTCCCCTCCTTGTGCTTGTCCCCAGCCTGAGCACTCCACCCAGCACTGTCCAGGGTCAGCACCTTGCTAAAGCACTTTCAGGCCCACCAGTGAGGTCACCCTTTGCATTTGGCCAGAGAAAAGTGCTCCTCTGCCATCTTCAGTGTGTGTCTCAGTCCCCGCTGTGAGGACAGTGGTGGCTGAGGGCATCAGCTTCCATGGAACATTACCTGGGACCAGGGGAAGCGAGGTTTAGTGTGTGCTGTTTCCTTCTGTGTGGAGCGTGCCATACCACCCTGTCCCCAGGTGCAGGGTTGCCATCTGTGGAAGAAGAGCTGCGGGTGCAGCAGGGCTTGTGCCGTGCAGCCCAGCCACTCCTGAGCACAGGCGCACAGCCCGGGGCTCACCTGACATCGCTCCACATGTGCTTGCTTCAGCCGGGGGCAGCTCCCACCCAGGCTTCAGCGTAGAGCCAGCCCTGGGGGCTTTAATTGGGTGGGAAGGCCTGTTCCAACTCTCCTCAATCAATATTCCTTCTGCAGGCCCAGCGGGGCAGCCCTGTGCCTGGTGGGGCTTTGGAGCCCGTGGTCCCGGTGCTGGCCCCAGCAGTAAAGATCTGTGACAAACCTGTCAAGGCGTCTTCCTCTCCATCCACCATGGTGGTTACTCAGCCCCCAGAAGGGCTGGATGGACCCCCCAGTCCCTTGAGCGAGGCCTCCAGCGGCTACTTCTCTCACAGCGTCTCTACTGCCACCCTGTCAGAAACGCTCACCCTCAGCCTGGACACCGCAGGCCCTGGCAACCACACGCCCATGTCCCCTCCTGCCCCCAGTCAGGCCACCCCAGAGCCTGAGCTGGCCTTCCTCTCCTGTACACGGAGCCATCCACCTGCCTCGGAGGAGCCCCGGGTACTCCCTGTCACACCTACTCAAAGCACAGAGTTGGAGGTTCCCAGACCCGCCCTTCTTTCTGAACCCACGTCTGCTGTGCCCACATCCCCATTCAGGATCCGGAAAGTGCGGACCTCAGAGCTTAAGTCCTTCACAGGCATGCTGGGGGGTGCCTCCTCTGGAGCTGAGGGGGATCCACTGGCTTCAGAAGAGCTCAGCAATGCTGGGGGACAAGCCCTGGGGAAGCTGGAAGTGACATCTGACTCTGAAGAGGCCAGCGACGTCCCTGAGTGGCTAAGAGAGGGAGAGTATGTTGTTGTAGGCACCAACAAGACAGGCATTGTGAGATACATTGGACCCACTGATTTCCAGGAGGGAACGTGGATTGGTGTGGAGCTGGACCTGCCTTCAGGTTAGTGGGCTATGGGTGTCCCTGCTGAATGTGGACTGGCAGAAAGGGAGCCAGGGATGTGCTGTATGCCCAGTGACAGCAGCCATACTCTTAGAGCCTCCTGATCCTTCACAAAACATGTCTAAAGTCTCAGAATCCATCAGAGACCCCATGTAGTCACCGAAAACTGCTGTGAACTTGGTAATAATTTTGTCTTTTTCTGTGAGACCACATCCTTCTGTGTGGCCCAGGCTGGTTGGGAATGAATGGGCCCAGGGACCCTTGTGCTGTAGTCTCTCCATTACCTGGGGCCACAGTTGGTTGCCACCAACAGTCGGTGTTCTTTGTAAAGTTGAAGCAAAAGCACTACTTCAGGCATTTATTGCTCTGGGGACTCCAGGACACTTTGCCCTGAGGGTGGTGGCTCTAGGTGATGTAAGGTGGGGTTCTTGCGGGCGGTTGAGTCTCAGGTCTGACTACAGAGCTCAGTGTCCTATCTAGCACCCTGGCCTCTCAGGCCCTATCATTCCTGATTGCAGGCACAGGCCATGTGAACCATGCAGTTGAGTGGTTTTGAGCATACTTACTAAGCTGTCCACCATCGCTGGAGTCTGTAATGTTATTATACATTTGTCACCTCACAGGGAAACCTCCTGTCCATTGACAGCTGTGTCCTGTCCAGCCCGGGGTCACAATTAATGTGCTTTGGTCTGCAGGTTATGGAAGGCCATGATCTGGTTGGGTGTAAAGGAGCTTTTGTGCCTGGTTTCCTTTCTAACTTGTGGCCCGGGTCCCTTCCTGTGGCGGCACCATTGCAGCCCCTTCCTTTGTGGCTGAGAAGCTCCCTTTCATGGGTGTCTGCACCTGCAGGCTGCTCTGAATGCAGGCTGGGAAGAGTCGCATGGACACAAGGGCCCATGTCTCTTGCTCATTGTTGAATATGTGACAACATTAGATGTTCTCCAGAGTGGTAGCCTCGTGCAGTGCTGGAGGGTCAGCTGTAAGCGTCGTCTCCCTTTGGAGCAAGGACAGTTCCTTGGTCTGAGCATGGGAGAGAGGAGTGTAGAGTCTGGACACCGTGTCGCTGAGATGTGCAGTCCACCTGCTCCTGCAAAAGTAACTGCTCGGGCTGCCTCCTGAGAGCTGGCTCCCTGCCACCATCTCTGGACACTCAGCCAGAGCTAGCTGTTGTTGCCAGGGTGGACTCCAGACTTTAGGAGGGTACCCTGAGAGCCCAGCACTAGGCCTTGGTTCTCTCAACCAGCCTGTGACCTCTCAGGCCCTTACATCCCTGGCTGCAGCCACAGGCCAAAATGACACCTCTGTCCCTGAGCCTAGAGCTTCCTGTGAAGTCACTGCCTTTAAATATAATCTGGCAGAGGATAGCTTGATTGGAAGCTGTTCAAGATGTTAACTGCAGCACAGGCTAGAAAAAAAATTTCAGATCTGCTTTTTGCAAAGTGCGAAGGGGGATTTAGGGAGAATTCTGTGTCTGCAGTTGAACTCAAGAATTAAAGAGAATTAGCAAATAATTGAACTCCCCAGCAGGAACTAACTAAGCACATGCTTTTGTTCACATTGCTGTGCTGGGTTCAAATACACTATGGGGAGCAGCATCCCGCACTTGACTTCTAACTGTGCATAGGAGAGAATGCTGAGGGAATAAATACATTTTGATAGGAACAAGTGCTACGAATGAAGCACACGTGCGGGGCGGTTGGAGGAGGGCGGCTGTCAGAGAAGCAAAGGGTGCAGGAGGCAGAGATGGGAAGGTGGCTGCCACCAAGGGCAGGCAGGGCAGCATCCCAGTGCTGAGCGTGGCCCACCAGGAAGACAGCTGTGAGGCCTGAGGGGCACCTGGTGCCTGCAGTTAAGGACTTGGTGGGGCTTAGTGCCTTTTGGCCAGGTCTTGGAAAGATCCCCTCTTGCAGAACATACGTGGCGAGTAAAGGGAACAGGGAGGCCCCTGTGAGGGGTGGCAGTTGTGTGGGCTGGGGCAGTTCATGGTTAAAGTTGAGGGAAGTGTGGGAAGCAGTGCTCAGGGTTGGGGAAGATGTGTAGAAGCCGCAGCCAAGGGCAGATGGTTGAGGTGGGACATTGGGGGGAGGTGTCAAGGTGACGGTGTGTGGCATCAGAAGAGGTCATGAAGAGAGCTGCAGTCAGGGAAGGGTCACTGTCTCAAGTGACCCCTGAGACTGCAGGCAGCCGGCCCTTCGTTGCTGAGACCGGGAGGGTGTGGCGGAGCTGGGGAGAGGTAGCCAGTTAGGAGAGTTACATATGGCAGTGACCAAAACAGTTATGTATGAGGATGCTTGAGACGTAGAGGCAGGGCGGCTTCCCTGGCCTACTTCCCGAGACGAGCAGGCAGGGTAAATGCTAAAACATCACCTGGCCACCATGACTCCCGGGTGGGGTCTTCCTTGTCCACTCTGTCTCCCTGTAACATCCCCTATTCACCTGTCAGGAAATTGCCAACCTACTGTGCGGCATCTACTGACATGCTCTGGGGAGGGTTTGCCAGCTTCCTCTGGGATGAACCTGGAGCACTTGCTCTCCTAGGCTCATGCTCCCACTTTCAGGAAAGGACTGGCAGGCCTGGCACACCCGGAGGAGCAAGAGCCAGCTCTGACTTGATGGCCTCCCCAGTCCTCAGCAGGTCTTTGTGCAAGGCTTGTTATCTCATTCTTGATACCACAGGGCTGAGGGTTTCTCTGTCCCTGGCCACCACTGTTTGCTGTCTTGAGAGGCTACTGCCCTGGCTCCAGGCTCACTGGTTTGCCGGGACTCTGCCGAACAAGTGGCAGTGACTGAACCACCTATTTTTCTGGGTTGGGTGGTGCCATGGAGGCGGCAGCATGATGGGCACAGTAAGGGTGGTGGCTGTGTGTGACAAGCTCTTCCATGATGCTCCCTCCTTTTCCTGCAGGAAAGAATGATGGCTCCATTGGTGGGAAGCAGTACTTCAGGTGCAACCCTGGCTATGGACTGCTGGTAAGGCCAGGCCGAGTTCGCAGAGCTGCAGGCCCTGGGCGCAGGCGTAGTGCAGGGCTCCAGCTTCAGGGAGCCTCAGAGGTCCGCAGGAGTGCTACCATCTCTGGCTCTGCCACCAACCTGGCCTCACTGACGGCTGCATTGGCCAAGGGCGACAGGAGCCACAAGAACCCTGAGAACCGGAAGTCCTGGGCCAGCTGATTTGCACCTCTCCTGGTAGACAGTGATGGGCAGGCAGAGACCTTCTGACCTCCCTGGAGGACACCCCTTCCATGGGAGCAGGGCCATGAATGCTTTTTGCACGATGCGGGGATGGTGGACAACCTGGTCCTCCGTCCTCCCTGGGAATCTGGAAGCTGCATTTCTTCTTCTACTTGATGAAGGCAAAGGCTCCTCAGCTGTGCTCTTCCAGTTGGGGGTGGAAGGTTCTGGGAGCCCAGAGATGGTAGGTGGGATGGTAGCTAGGTGGCAGGGTTGGAGTCAGGCCGGCCCCTCCCTGACTGCTTGAAGTGAAGGGGTCCCAGCCAGGTTTGTTGGGTTTCCCTTTTCCTTATTCTGCTGACTTTACTAATGTCTGAATTTAAATAATGATCCTAACTGGTGTGTTGCCCTTCACATACAGGAATTGATTCTCCTGCCTGGGGTCCAGTACCCATAATACCTTTTGTGCACCTGAGTCCTCCCTTAAGCCATGTCCCATCCTTCTGCGTCGCACACAGGGCTCCTGGGAGGCATCTTTGCAGGTGTCCAGTCTTTATATCAGAAAGTCTTTTCTGTTGGCTATTCATTTCCTAACAGGATGCTTCAACTATATTTATTTAATTTATTCTGTTCAAAAGCTGAAATAATTCGTGAACCACAATCATTGGCAGCTGTGGCAGCATATTTGCTTGGGGCCTGCCTTTTACTTACTGGCCGCTGGATACCTGGATCTGCCTCTTCTTGGATGGTGGCTGCTGGAGGTGGCCAGCAAATGAAGCCATCCATGTGTTGCTTGATTGTAGATACACCATGGCCTTATTGTCACTGGGGTGAGGGCAGACCCTGGGGCTAGACACAGTTCAAGTCATTAATACATTGTTTGGATCTGCCACGTTTCAGGGAACAACTGGATAGCGTTTGATTCCGTGACAATTCCTAAACCCTGACTACACCTGGGGGCCAAAGCTGGACAGGTAGGCAGCGAGAGGAAAGCTGTCCTCCATTTCCCTTCCTCGGATTTGTGCTACAACCATGAAAACCCCTCAGGGCATTACCAACCACCTCCTTGCTGGGATCTGTGCAGCCTCTGAGTCCCAGAGTGTGTGTGTGTGGAGCTGAGTTGGCAGATTGAAGTCACCCAGTCCCGGTTGTCTCAGGCCCTGCCCTGTCCACCAGCTCAGAACGGAAGCCCTATGCCAGAATTTACACCAGGTGTTCTTGGCAGCTTGCTGTAAGTTTTGACCCTCAGAATCTGTTTATTTTTTGAGACAGAATCTGTTCTTTGCATAACAATCCTGGCTGTCCTGAAACTCATTTTGTAGGACACGCTGGCCCCCAACTCACAGTTTGCCTGCCTCTGTGACCCTTAAGAACCACACCCAGAAAGCTTTTGTAGAAAAATTGGTTCACTGAGAATTTAAGCCTCTTAAGGGAAGTAGCATCAGGCTCCCAGGCTCCCACCAGGTGGCTCTTCAGAACACCTCAGCCTCCCCTGGCCCTGTGGCCTCCATGCTAATATTGCTGGCACTCAGTTCGGACAGTCTGTGTTGTCTGACTAGCCCAGTACAAACTTCACTACATCTGCTTGCCCAGACCTTGCCCAGAGGCTGGCTTAGGGCAACAGAAGGTTAGGTGGGCTCCCTGGCAGAGGCGCAGCAGCCAGGGAGTTGCGCATTACTCTGCTCTCGTCACCAGGGGCTCTGCCAGGAGAGCCTGCCTCCATCCCTTCTGGAACAGCACAGATGTCTGGAGCTGCCAGCTAGAGGCAGGCACCAATCCTCTAACTCCTTTAGCTGCCTTTTGGGGGTTACCCCCTAGGTGCGTGCTGCTGAGTTAGCACTGCCAGTTCTGCCAGGCTTGCTCTCGTGGCCAGCACAGAAGTTGTCTTGATTGTGTCATGTCAGCATCCAGTGTCTCCTAGAGAGTGGTGCAGTCATTCTCTGAAGGTGCCAGACCCTGGAGCCCCCTCTTTGGGATGGCCATGCAGTGTGTGTCAAGGAGAGAAGTCCCCATAGGCGTAAGGCCAGCATTGCTATGCTGGGGGAAGGATCCTTGTGCCACCTGTCGGGACTGTCAACTTCATCTTGTTAGCTGGGGCTCTGCAGAGCAGTACACATCCTGAGTGATCTAGCTTGGCCAGCTGTTGTCTGGTGGCTCTGGGACCATCTTCTCTCCTCCCAGCCCCCACGTTCTTCCCAGCTCCTTGGACCTGAGGTTCCCTAACCCTTCCCACTCCCCTCATCCCCAAAAAGCACAGTTCCCACAGAGCCCTGCAGGACACCCTTTGGGTAAAGCCCTCCAGCTTCACAGGCAAACTTCCCAAAGCACCTGGTCCAGGATGCTCTGCCCAAGGCCTTGAGTTGGTGCAGGGGCCCGGCTTTGGGGCTGTGTTCTGTGAGGGCTGGCTTTTCACAGAGGGCTCTGCTGCTCCCAGTACCTTGGTGCCCAGTATGGGTGGGATTTAATGAGAGGGAAGTTTGGGGCCTCATGCTGGTGGGTTTATCTTCATGGGTGTTTTTATGAGTCGTCCCTGTGTGTCTGCTGTGAGGGCAGGGAGGTGACCTTGGGAAAGCTGGCACTTTGGGGTGGGTCTGGAGAGATGGAGCTTAGGTTCTTGCAGGTCTGCAGGGTTTGCTGCACCTGTGACCTGCGTGTCCCCTTGCTCTTCCTGGGCTGCTGTACTAGATGAGGCCAGATAGGCCAGCTGCAGCCTGGATCCGTTACTTGCGCTTTTTGGAGCAGACTAACACTAACTCGGAGTTGGGAAAGTGGTGATACATAGGGGTCATGGTCGCTAAAATATCAGGTAGTAGTAGGCAGGTAGTGAGTGGGTGTGTAGTTGGGTCCCAGATCCCAGGTCTAAGGGCCACTGTTTCTGGACTGTGTTTAGTGACACGGCCCTTGAGGACCACATCTGTGGTCTTTCCCACCTCTTTTCATGCCTTGGAGATTCTGTGTGGGAAGCAGGTGAGTGGCTCACGTAGCATCGACCTGCCTGCCCAAACTGCCTGTGCTGTGTGTTGTGCTTGGAGGGTGATTTGGAGCGTCTTGTGCCTCAAGGCCCAGTCCACTTCAGGTCCGAGACTGTAGGGCCACCTCTAGTGCCTTTCCTGGGGCCAGTGTCTAGCCTGTGCTTCCAGCCCCAGACACTACCCAAAGCATCGCTCTCTTCAAGTCTGTGGTGCCTTCCTGTTGGGCTGTGGACACTCAGTGTGGGAGAGGTGGAAAGAGCATGGGTGTGGGTCATGCACGTATGAGCTCACATGAAGTGATGTTGATCCCAGGATTAAAGAGATCTGGTGCATGTTAAATGGGAATTAAAAATCCAAAGACCCTGTAATGAATAGTAAAGATGATGATTTATGTTGTACGAAGAACCAAACTACTGTAATTTTGTATCATAAATGCCTTTCCATCAAATGACCAGCAACTTCTAAATAAAGCCAGATGGTTTCTTGCTTATGTCTGAGGTCAGTCCTAACTGTTCTTCTCTACCCTCATCTTGGGCTTTGGCTCACTCTGCTATCACTTGGTGGTGGTTCTAGGGGTTTTTCAAGATGGATGGCCGGAGTTCAGAGCAGCAGGCCCACAGACAGACTTCTGTGGCCCACAGGCTTGAACCAAAACCCAGGAGACCCCATTGGCACCTTGGCCTATCTCCAACCCCTCATTCCCATCAGCCCCTTGGATCTTAGACTCAAAAGTAGCCAGGTGTGTGTGTGGGGGGGGTCCCCTGCTTTCAGACAGGGGTTTCACCATCTGCCTCATTCTGTGAGACAGGCCCCACTATGGACTCAACTAGAGAGCAAAGCCCTTCTACTGCTGCAGAGATGGACAATACCCTGGAGCAGGTGTTTCAGGAAGAGGCGCAAATTAGGGCTGCTGTGGAATCTGACTTTAGGCTGCCTTTCCTGGTTTGTGATAGGGAAGGAACCAGGCCTCCTCTGCTTCCCCTGGAGCCTCACTTTAGCTACCCTATTATAGCAAAGCACCATTTTCAGGATACAGGACTTGCTCCGGCCTTTCTCTCTGCAGCAGAGCATCATTCTGCCCATGTCTCATAAATGGAATAGCCTGGGAATGCAGGGTCAAGGCCACCTGGAGGCCCGAGGGAGGGTAGTCATGAGCCACAGGCAGCTTCTGTCTGTATAGGGCTTGTTTGTATTCCCAAGTGCGACAGACTTATTCTCAGAGATAAGCTCTGCCAAGCAGGGACAGAGTGTGGCAGCCAGGGGCAGCCCCATGAGAAATGAGGTAGGATTCTGAATGGAACTGATCCAGCATGGGGGGTGGGGTGGACACATCATCTTTTCCAGGCTGCTGTTTGTTACCTGGCAGCTCTAGGTGGTGTCTAGTCTAGTGGGTGTCACACTTGGTTCACTCTTCGCTTACCAAATTACTCAGGGAATGTGTGCACTGATCCTGAAACTGGAGTGGAGCCAGTGTCTGGGCCTGGAGGGGCTGAGGAAACCACTCTTGGATGCAGACAGGAGGTGGTACCCCAGGAAGATGCTTAGCCATGTAGTACATGTGCCTAGGTTGAGGAGACTTGGGATTTGGGGTCAAACCATGCGACCCATGAGGTAGGTAGGGACAGACAGGCCCGTTGTGGCTTGAGTCCTGACCTCCTGAGCCATGGGTGCTGCCAGACTCCAGATGGCAGTGTCTGAAGCCCTTTGAACACCATATCAGGGAGACGGTTGGCTCAGTCTTCCGAGGAGGGGAGGGTCAGTGGATCTGTGCCCAAGGGAGAGGGAAGGCTGGAACCTGGCCCTTGCTTTGCTCACCACTGAAACCAGAACACAGAGAACAAAGCTGCTGCTTTCTGTCTCTGCTGCTCCAGGTGCATCTTTTGGAGGCAGCTCTTTTTAAGAGGCCCAGGGTGGGGCTGGCTGTATCAGGAAATGGAGATCAAAAAGCAACACACCTTAAGTGTGGCTGTGATCCTGGGGGCGGAGTCTTTCTGGGTGCCCCCCCCCCAACTCGGGCACTCAATGGGAATGCAGGGGGTCTAAGGTCCTACTGGGCCACTGTGGTTGGGGACTTGGGGACTCCTAAAATAAAGATCCCTTTAGGGCTTTGGTACTATGATCTCCCAGCTCCCGGTCCCTTTGGAAAGTCTGAAGGGCAGAGCTGGGGTCAGGAATGGGAGAGGCCTCAGGTTTGATCCCCAGAACTGGGGGAAAAAATCCCAAAACCCTAAAAATGCACAAGGGAGGGTTCATAGGACAGATACCTGTAACCGCTTCAGCCAACCAGGCACAATGCGCCCCCCCTCCCCATTAAATATTTGGATCCAAAGAAATCTCAGACAGCCTTTGCTCAGTTATACATTTTATTCTCTAATAGGTACAATACTAAAATAAACACAAATTAAAAAAAAGTTTTATTAAAACAAAACTGTACAAAAAAGCAGTATACTACATTTTAATTACAGAACAGTCTACTGTCCAAAAGGCACTAATCCAGAATGGGAGATACAATGAAACAGGACTCATTGGAACTATATAATCAATACAGTACAGCACTTGTTTCTTTGACCATTTACATCCAGAAACAAGGGCTTCTTGCTACAGTCATCACACACTGTTATAATCCGAGTCCTACTGGGAAGGTGCAGTATCACTTCCTAGAGCAGGCTCCACCAGGGGCCCAGGAGGGGCTGGGGACGTGGGCAGAGGTGGACACCCCAGCTTGTCTTGGCCTCTGGTGGGTTGGATCTGGCCATGACTGGCAGCCACCCTAAACCATCTCCTGTTTAGCACCGGCAAAGTGGGTTCTGAGATGCTCCAGGTCAAGGACAGGAGGTGTGATGACAGCTCCTGGAGGGGAGGCATCTGGTAACCCTGTCTGAAAAGGCAGCAGCTACCTGGAAGGGGGTCATGGCCCAGTGACAGCCAGGGGGCTGAGTGCTATGTCAGGCAGAGCCTCCCCTAGCTTCCCAGGTCTGTGAGTATCCAGTGACCTCATCTGGGAAATTGGTTTCTAGAAGGGGAGTTTGCTTCCCAGAGACAAGTCAGAATGCCATGCCTGGCCTCAGGGTGCAAGCCACTTCCCTCCCTCAGGGCCGCCTCTGGCACCTGAGGGGCACTGCACGGTAGGAGTCAAGCCCTGCTCCCCTCTCTGCTGGGTGGCCAAGGCACCTCTCTGAGCCCCAGCTTTTATCATCACAGACTCTGGCCTGAAGAAGGATACTGCAGCTTTCCAAACAGTGTCATACACAGAAAAGACGAAGACAGGCATCTGATGTTAACAAAAATAAGTAACAAAGAAATGGGATTAAACCAAATCTCTTCTCACAGCGCCCTATACTACACCCTCCTTCTGCTTAGCAGAAAATTGTACGTACACAAAAATACAAGTACACAATTTTGTAGAACAGTCTGGTTTTAATATATTTATATATATTTATATTTATACGAGTGGCAGGGTAGTTCATTATATAGAGCTTTTTGCACTTTTGGCTCATATGCAACAAGGCTTATAAATTCAGCTTTAGCTTTCATTCAGATTTTATAGCTTTTGAACAATTTTTTCACATTTAAAGCAGCATCCAATTTGCACTAGGAGTCTGTGGTGATTACGGGGAAAGATGGGGTCTGGAGGTTATGGGGTGGGACGGTATACATTCCAGTGTGTGTGGCATGTCAGGAGGGTTCCATGTGGACAGAGCTTGCCATGATGACCCCTTGAGGTAGACTGAACACCTTACAGCAGACTCAGACACCGGTGTGACACCCTCAGGGACACATGGCACACAAGATGGGGACAGACCAGAGGAGACAACCAAAGGGGAACACACAGAGACTAAGACAATGGCCAAGGCCAGGAGGGCGCCCTGCCCCCTCCCCTATCATCTGGCATCATGCTGAATACCTGCAGGCAACATCCAGGCATCTGCTCCCTGGTGTCTGGTCAAAACATGGATGCCTGCTTTCTGCTTCCCAGCTGGCCATGCCAGCTTGTTCCCAGCCCCACAGTGAACTACACAAGCTGCGCTCCTACAGGAGTGGCTGCCACTCCTTAGCATTGAGCTCTTGCTGATTCACGTTCAAGTCTCATTCAGGGCCCAGAATGCTGGCCCTCTTAATGCTGACTCAGAGCTGGCCTCCCTCTATTATGCATTCGGTTGACACTCCTCAGTCACACCAGGCCTGACAGGTGCTTGGTAGACCATGAAAGCTGCATCTAGAGGATGGCTAGCAGCACCCCTCCGGGGCAGCATGGTTTGTTTGCATGCTCCACACATTGGCCACCAATTGGCCACTCACCCACAGCTTTCCCTTCTCTAGGTGAGGCAGTTTTACTGGTAAGGTCAATCATTCCTGTTACATGCAAATTCCCAGTGCTTGCACTACTCCATCATCTGAGCAAAAGAAATCCTGGGTCATTAGTGAAAATAAGGTGCCTATATATGGATTGTTCCTTTCCCACTCATCACCTGTGTGTTATAACAACAGAGCACAGCACAGTCACTAATCTGTCCTATACCCCCATATAAACAAAGGTCTGGATCTAGTTCAGACTTAAATTATTTTCAAAATGAAAAACTCATCTTTTAAAATGTACACTGGACCTTATTACAACTCTACTGATGATGGCCCTTCGCTCCTGGCTCCCTGGTATCGGGCTGTAGATGCAGCCAGGGCTCCAGTACTCATGATGGCAAAAGGGCACAGGTGTATCAGCCACGATCCCTGCCTGCCAGCCCTTAGAGTGGAAATGTCCCCCAAGTACTGACAGACACAATCCTGCTCAGAGCCCGTCTCACTCCTGCTTCTTTATTCAGACCTAGATCTAGCTAAACAGACTCCTTAAAACTCCCTACGATCCAAGACCACAGTAACATCAACAGAAGGAACACAGGAAAACAGCGACAAGGCCAGCCTTCTCCCCTTGCTTGCCCTTGCGACCATTCTGCCTGCAGAATGGCAGGGGCATTGGGTGGGTGGGGTGCACAACGCCCACCCTGAGGCTGTGTGCATGGTGGGAAGGACAGGGCAGGACAGGGCACAGGCCAACTCTCAGGCAGGTCCCAGAGGTTTGTAACTTGCTTAGGCACTTAAACATAAATGAGAATTTGATCCTGCAAGGTACTATAGACTCAACATAACCATGGCCATGGAGGAGAGACTGAGCCCACGATCTCAGAGAAGAGGCTGTAGGATCTTCCAGAAGAGAGTGCACTACCTTGCAGCCATTGAAGTTATGTGGTAGCTCAGGGGCCAGTTTGGTCACTGTGGTCCCTGATCGGTACCCGATGAGGTGCGGGCTGTCCTGACACCAGTTCAGGGTCACTGTAAGAGCCACTGAGAGAAGAAGGGCGCTTTCAGAGTGGTGTTGCGGCAGAACCAAAGAGCAGGAAGGAAAACGCTTGCCAGAATGGCCAGTGCTTGGAAAGAAAGCTCTACTCACCCAGAGAACTTTGGTTTTGTTTTTCTGGTGCCCATTTTCAGAGATGC